TTTAATTTAAAGCACTAAAATTAACTTCATTGTGAAAATAAATTTGAGAAAAAGTCATAACATGTTAAAGTTAAAAGCTTAAAATAAAACAAATATAATGAATGTTTATTCCCTTTTTAGTTTGACATAATGGAGGGTAATTTTGTCATATCATAGAATAACGATTTTAGGTTGCTTTTAACAATAAGGTCATAGATAGAGTAAGTTAGTAAAACAGGGTGAATCAATGTAAAATCAAAAGACTAAAACTTTGGGGTATCTTGTGATTGCGAATTGAGGAAGGCAAAGGGACCACCGACAAGACCTAAAATGACACTGAAAAAAGTGATGGATCTATTAGTGAAGATTTAGCAAACATGGTTTTGAAGCATCCATAATTGGGGGCACCTTGGGGGCTCGGGTTGAGTATGATCTAATATTTGGTGTGGAAGGCTCGAGGGTTAAACATTCAATGCAGTGTAAATTCTTCAAATCAGGTATCTAAACCTGTTTGTACCCTAACTATAATTGGATAATAGATCATCTTTTGGGGTATTCGGGTCCAAAAAAGGAAAAAAAAAAGCCTAAGTCTATATTTGGTTTGAACTTTGAAGGAAAAGGTAAGGGCTAGGGATGCAAACAGATCGGATTCGAATCATGGTATATCTGAATTTGATCAAATATCATTAATTGCATATTTGATCTAATTCAAAAATTTGATCAGAACTCATAAGCATAGATTTGAATTTGAATCCGATGAGGCAGTTGGATATTCAGATTTCATTTGATATGATTGATTTTTAAAAATAATAATAAATTATTAAAAAAATATAATAATTTAAAAATACAAGTATTTTTTCAACTATTTTGATTATATATATACATGTTTTTTATAAAAAAAATATATAATATAATATAATTACATAAATGCAATATAAGTAATATATTTATAAATAAGTAAATAACATATATATGTGCTATATATATTTATATAAATAAATAAATAACATATATATCAAATCGGATCTTCTTATATCAGATAGGGGTGATCCAAATTCGGCCAAATTCCTAATTGGATCCTATTATCCGATCCGATATGAAGATCCAAAATGGGGCTATCTGAATCCAAAAATATAGGATCAGATCGGATCCCATTTGCACCCATAGTAACGGCATTCCCTTCCTTTCCCTACCTTTTCCTTCAAACCAAACACATCCTAAAGTCTTGAAATCTTGATTACCAAAATAATATTCTCTACGAATCACAATATTTCAAGTATTGTGTTTTGTCTCTGAAACTTTTCTAGGCTCCAAGACCACTCAAATCTTCTTTGATAATGCGGTTTCATTTCGAAGATGGTCAACAATTGAGAGTATTCAGTTTGTGGTTCTATGTTCATGTTTCATTTAGTTCATAAACAAAATCAGCATTTTGTATGCTATTGGTCCAAAACCAGTAATCCATGGCTATAATGACCATTTTTTTAATACAACCTTTGATAGCTTTCTCAACCAGAAACATGCCTCATCAATGTAAGCATGACAAAGAAGTTATGCAATGTGCCTCATCCATTATGATTCTAGTCATAATATATCTCTATTTGATGATGATGATAATGATTGTACAATCAAAGTAAATAGTGAAAGTATATATACATGAATCAAACAATCAGATATCATGGTTCAAAAAATGAATCATGAACAGACTTAATCATGTCAATTTGGTTGTTCACAACTTATGTATAATTTATAGTAAATGATAGTATCAGAAAATACCATGCATTTTATGCCCTAGGGATGAACTGTGACCACACAGTCCTCTCCCCTTGTATTAGCATGCATGCGGGCATGCCACTTTATGACACTAGGTCCCATGAACTTATAGACCGGAGTCCATGTCATAGACTCTACAGTGTTGTGGAAGTAGGGTTATAAACGGATTGGATTTGAATCATACCAAACAATATCTGAATTCTAATCCGATTAAAAAATCTGATATCCGAATTCAATTCAATATCTAACGGATATTGAAAATTAATATCCAAATTCAAATCTGATTAAATATTCAAATATTCGATTCGATTCGATTTGAATTCGATTAATTAATTAGTTTAGATAATTAATAAATATATAAAATAAATATTTTATTGATATAAATATATAAATTATTTATATAACTTAATTATTATATATATAAACTATATAAAATATTTCATATATTATATATAAGAATTAAATAATCTATCGAATTCGGATATTTATCGAATCGAATCAGGTCATATCTAAATTCAACTGATTAGATATTTGAATTATCCGAATTTAATTCAATTATGTTGAATATTGAATTCAAAATCTGATTTTCAAATACCGTTGACACCCCTATGTGGAAGCATGGATTGTGAAAGAAGCCATTCTCCCAACAAAAGATCTAGGTTACAAAAACATAATAATTGGATGAGATTCAAATTGATTGCTTACAAGGCTAAACTCCCTACCATAACATTATAAAACATTAATCTCAAGCTTCACACACACACACATATAGAGAGAGAGAGAGAAAAGAAATATTCATGTTAGATGTATGTACATTTATAAAAAAAAACAAATCAACTTGCAGATCAAGGATTAAAATATCAATACATATACCATGGCATAGAATATCCATGTTGGTGTACCTAAATATGCATAAATGCAACCCATACAAAGATGATTATAAAATAAAAATTTTAAAAGTGAGGGTATTGGTGATATCAATACCCAATTTTGGGGATCGAGCATATCAATATTTTAATCTATTGCTAGTTTGCTACAATAAGGAGAGAAATAGAAACCCTGAGTTTCCAACAACCTATGACTACAGAAAAACGTCAGATACCTTGGAATTCTACTTTAAAGGAGAGTCTTCCACTCTAAAGTTAGATGAGGAGGGAGGAAGAGCAGAAAGTTGTTTTGCTTATAATGCCCATTTTTCTTTTATCATTATACCAATCAAGATTATTTAATTTCTGGCTATACATCTATAGCCACATCCACCCTCTGATTTGGCCAAGGCGTCAAAGTTGATTTTTAGGATATTGGACTTAGGGGGTCCATCTTATCCAATTTAAGTTTTTCTCACTGTGATGAGATGGTCTACTTCCCCATTAACTTCAGGTAAGTCCAAGTCCTATGCACTAACTCTTGAGGGCCTACAGAGAGGTTCCTAAATAAATTTGCGTTCCTATTTTTCCAAAGAAACCAAAAGCTAGTAATTGTGCACTATTTGACACTTTGCTAAGATGTGGTTTCGATCTTCCACTTGACGGGATACCAGTTCTCAAAATCATATTAACAGTCTTCTCATTGAAACCCTGTGTATGCATAGCATTACTCCAATTATGAGAGTGTTGATCTATAAGAGTAGCCACCATGTTTATGGGCTGCTTCCAAGTTGCAAGTTTGTCAATAAGACCATTTGGCAGCCAAGGATCATAAAAAATGTTAACATTCCACCTACTATAGATAATTCACTTATACCCTTCAATTAAGTCATTTCTGCAATCAAGAATAGTAGTCCAAAGAAGTGAATCACCAAGTTTTTTCTTTTGACACCAGAAAGAACCATTTAGAAGATATTTTGCATGGAGAACCTGGGTCCATACAGAATTATTTTCCTTTAAGAAATGCCAAGCAATCTTCATTATGAGTGCTTTGTTGACCAAGCCAAAATGTCTAAAGCCTAGACCACCTTTATCAGTGGGAAGTAAAAAAGAATTTCAAGCCTTGAGGTAAAGAGGTTTTTTCCCATGAGACACACCCCACTAGAAGTCTCTGCAGATGGCAATTAAATCCTTACAAATGGTTGAGGGCAGAGAGTAAGATAGCATGTGGTAAATAGGCATTGAGGTAAGGGTAGATTTAATGAGAGTAGATCTTCCTACATGAGAGAGAACCCCCATCTTCAAGTCTTTGAGTTTAGCTTTAATATTGTCCAACAAAAACTACCAAGAAGAGAATTTTCTACTAACTCCGATGAGTGGACCACCAAGGTAGGTATCTTCCTTTTTCATATCAGCAACACCCAACAAATTCTTAATTGAGTTTTGTGTAAATAAAGGGGTATTTTTGCTGAAAAAATAGATGATTTCTCAAAGTTAATCACTTGACCTGTCCAAATCACAAAATTTTTTAAAATGGCATTCAAGTGCTAGACTTCTTCAATTTCATCTCTTCCCACTAATAATAAATCATCAGCAAACATCAAGTCGTTAATTTTCACATTTGACCTGCCGAATCTGAAGCCTTTTAACATGCCAGTCTCCAAAGCATTAGATAACATCCGAGAAAGAACTTCTAAATATATGATGAAAAGATAGGGTGAAAGTGGACAACCTTGTCTTAAGCCCCTTTCAGGAGAGAAACCATAGCTTGGCTTTCCATTAATCAAGATTTTCATAGAGTTAGAGGCAATGCAAGCCTTAACTAATTTGCAAACAGATTCAGAAAAATCCAATAGATTCAAACACTGAATGAGTAACGGCCACTCCACTTGATCATAGGCCTTTGACAGATCCACCTTCAATAGAAAGAAACCTTCTCGGCAATTTCTTCTATTCATTGAGTGAATAAGTTCACAAGCTACCACAACATTATCAATTATCTGTCTCCCAAGTAAGAAAGCATTTTGAAATGGAGAGACAATTTTCTACAGAAGAGGCTTAAGGCAGTTTCTCCCCATGGTAACTACACCTGTAATTCGGGATACAAATTTATTTCCAATTCTCCAAAATCTCCACACTCTATGTGGGTTTGTTTGTCTAGGACTGAGTTGGAAATCTTTTTGGAAGATAAAGTTCATCCTACCCAGAATAAAAACCTTTGTTTGGCGCTATTGCAAAGGAGCCCTTCCTGTGTCTGCTGACGTTGCCAAGAGATCGAATCACATTGATGCCACCTACAGCCTTTGCCATGAAGATCTTGAAACTTTGGACCACTTATTTTTTCACTGCCTAGCAGTTCAGCCAATTTGGTTTGCCTCATCCATGGATTTGCGAGTCAACATTTGCAATGATCAAGGTTTTCTTTTCTGGTTAGAGGAATGGAGGAAAATGGATAACATTATTGAAGAGGAATCCGACCTCTCCCTATTTACTAGAGGCACTATTCTTATGTGGTATATTTGGAAGGCTAGATGTCAAACCTATTATAATGGGAAGCCATTCACTAATTCAGCCATTCTCATTCTCTATAATGCTCACCTTGGAGACTTGGTGAAAATGCGTGAAAGACCTTTATTGACCCAGCCAGAAAACTTGGGATTTGTTCCTCCTTCTTCTCTTCAAAGAACCTCATCAGTTTGGATCAAACCTCCTCATCTACACATTAGAATCAATACTAATAGAGCATGGTCTCCATCAAAAGCTGCAGTCGGTGTCATTGATCGAGATGAATTTGGATCTCTCCTGGTTGCCAGAGTCTTGTTGGTGAAGAGTTCTTCTCCCATTGAATCTGAATTCAAAGCAATTCTAGAGGGTTTTCGACTAGCAAAATCTTTCATCTTGGACCCGATTATCATAGAAAGTGATGCAAAAGTTGCTATTCAAGTTCTCTCTTCGGATCTGGAACCCCCTTGGAGTTCGTCGTTAGTTGCCTTGGATTGCAAAACCATCTCAAAATCCTTCTCATCCTGTGCTTGGCATCACATCCCTCGATCCTATAACAGAGCAGCCCATGGGCTTGCCCAATTTGCTCTAAGACAAAACAGATCATTTACTTTGTCCTCTATTCCAGATTGTATCCTATCTATTATTTTGGATGAGATGTAACCTCCAAGTTGAAAGTTAAATAAAGCTCTTGCCTTATGGCTTCAAAAAAAAAAAAAAAGATCTTCCACTTTACCACAAAATGAGCAATTCTTATCAATGTTTAGCCCCTTGTCTACAAGATCTTTCTTAGTTGGAATCTTATTTAAGATTAACAGCCATAGGAATGCCTTATTTTTTTAGGGCAGACTAATTTTCTTGAATATCTTATTAACCTTAGTGAGTCTATTATTTTCACAAAGGAGATTATAGTATGGCCCTAGATCATCATATCCTCCTTATTGGATAGGGAGATATGAATTATTTATTGAGGAATTTTTTCAGCCAATTTATTTTTGTCCCAAGTTATATTTCTAAAGTCAATATAATTGCTTACCCTTTCCTCTTTGTTTAAAGGGCCCATGTAGGGGTCCCTTATCAACCCAAGCATCTTCTCAAAATCTACATTTTGCCCCATCTCTAATTTTCCATCTTATTCCTTTGGTTAAGTTCAATTTTTCCAAGTTGGTTTTTTACCATGCCCATGAGCTTGATTTTTGTGCTCTATGGTTTAGAAAATTATCATATCTTAATTACTTTTTCCTTACAATTTGAACCCAAAGATTGTTATTGTCCTTGATAATTTTTTGTCCTTGTTTCATCATATTTGCTTGATTTACCTCTGTCAACCTCCTATTTCCGAAGCCTCCTTTTGCCTTATCCATGCAAACCAGATCCCAGTTTGCAAGAACAAATGTTTTATTGTTATATTTTGAATTTCAAATGAACTGTCTTTGTAACTTGTCCAACTTTTTGGTTATTTCTTTTGGTAACCCAAAATTGTTCATTTGGTATTGGGACATATTTCCAACTACTATTGCTTTTAAGGCTCAAAATTGGATGGGTTCTACTTCATAATAGGGCCTACACCAAAATTTGGCTTGTTCAAATTATCTCAAATAATTTATTTAGGTATTTATTAACTTTTTTTCTATTTAATTGGAGGTAGCATGTAGGGATGGCAATTTTCTCCATTTCCTCGATCCACCCCAAATGGGGTGGGGATGGAGATGATTCCCCCACCTCCTGCAGGGACAGGGATGGGGAAATTTTCATCCCCGTTAGCGGGGACGAGGAGAGCACTCCCCGCCCCGTGGGATCCCTACTAATATGTATGTATGTATGTATGTATGTATGTATGTATGTATATATATATATATATATGTGCATACATTATATATGTATATATATACACATACATCAATATGTTAATATTTTTAAAAATATGGTTGAATAGGTTTGAATCTTTTCTAATAGGATTGTAAATTTTAATTATTTTATTTTTATTTAAAAAAATAAAAACAAAATAATTAAACATTATAAAAAATCACGAGGAATGGGGATCCCCGTGAGGATGGGGATAACCTTGTCCCCGCTAGTGGGGATGGGGATGGGAACAAGGACAGGGATGGAGATGGAGATTTCTCTCCCCATCCCCATCCCCACCCCGCCCCATTGCCATTCCTAGTAGCATGGGATATTATCGTAACAAAATTATTGCTAAAGGCCTGACGCCCCATTTAGAAAGCCTATTAAGTGCTTTTGGTCAAAAGCCCAATTCTGTGAGTTCGCATCTGCTATGCACCACGGTCCCAATACTCCCTTGTGACTTGTGACCCTTCAATAGAATACAAACATGTCAATATTAGCAGTGACATCACCTCAATTGTTTTCTTTTTCCTTTTTATTTCAAATGTTTGGTACATCCATGTTTCATTGGGGTCACATAAGATTATAGTTGCAACAAATGTAACCATCAAACTCATCAAGGATCAAAATATAAATACACAATATGGTGATATCAAAAATTGGGTATTGGTGTATATTGATAGACTAATTTTTTTTAATCAGCTCGAAAGGGATGCCTTCTATCATCCCAAGCTTTCAAAGCCCCCAAACCCTATGCATATTAGTGTATCCATGAACTTGGATACAGATACAACACGCCCAATATTGTATCAATATTTTGATCTTTGATCAAACTTCTTGTCTTTTTACCATAATATAGGAGAAACTTATAACCAATCAGGTGGTATTCATCAAAATTCACAATAGGTTTGACTGGTCAAAGCTCTTCCAATATCACACCTTTCTAGCATCACAACTTTATTAAAAACAAAAAAAAGGCTTTTTATTGAAGCTTCTACTAAGGTACATCTTCATACATAGGAGTGCAACTTAGGCAAGTTGAGGGTCAACCAAGCCCAATGCTAAAGGCTACACCTCCATACATAGGAGTGCAACTTGGGCAGGTTAAGGGTCAACCCAGCCCAGTGCTAAAGGCTCAATTTGAAAGGAGTAAAAATACAAATATCTATAGTGCAAAACCTTATATTTTGTATGTATTTGTAGTGTACATATTTGTATTTGTACTCCTTCCAAACTGAGCCAAAGGTGTAAACCATGAGTTCAGGCCTAGACCAACTTGAGGTCAAAACCAAATTTACCAATATAGGGCCAACTTGAGATTAACCCAACACAACGTAGAGCAGGCCTGGGCTTGAGTTTAGATCGGGATGGGTTTAGTTGGACTTGGGCAGGTTGGTCCAATGTGTTATGAATATATTTGTATAGCCATCATTTATTTGGGCTTTATGACCGAATTTGTGGGCAGAATTAATTGAAAATATGTGCAAATTTCTTTTTACATTGTACATATGTACATTTTTTTAACCCCGAATTTAGGGTGCGCTTTATAACTCTTTCTAGACCTCTGAAAAGAGTTACGCACATTTGGAATCCGGTCTGAATATGGGTCTAAAACTCCATTTCGAATCTGAATCAAAAGAGGTCGGCCAACCTCTTAACACGGTCATATGCATTTCAGACCGCGTTAAAAGACAAAAATAGGCCTCAGCTTCGAACATCCTCCCTTGCAAGTGCAATTCCGAGAAGAGAAAACTAGTGTTGTTGGGATCGACTGATAGAAGCAAACTGACTGGAGCTACCGTCATAGTTCCCGTCCACTCTCTATTTGGTGATAAGAGGAAGAAGACGAACAACATATCTAGGCATTTGGAAGAAGAAGAAGGGGAGAGAGGGGAAATAAAGAGAGTTTAGAGGGAGAATAACCGGAGAGATGAGGGGGGAATACTGTCACCCCTATTTGGCCTTCGCAACGAGAACGATGATCAATAGTGCCCAAAACTGATCCGCCTCAGCTTTGAATATCCTCCCTTGTAGGTGCGACTCCAAGAAGAGCAAACTAGTGTTGCTGGGATTAGCCGATAGAAGCAAATTGACTAGAGCTACCACTGTAGTTCCTCGCCATTCTTTGTTCAGTGATAAGAGGAAGAAGGCGAACAACATATCTGGGTGTTTGGAAGAAGAAGAAGAAGAAGAAGAAGAAGAAGAAGAAGAAGAAGAAGAAGAAGAAGAAGAAGGGGAGAAAAGGGTAATAGAGAGAGAGAGAGAAAGAATTTAGAGGGAGAATAACTAGAGAGAGGAGGGGGGAATAGGAATTCCACCACCTTTGTTCGGCCTTCGCAACAAGAACGATGATGAACAATGCCCAAAACCGATTAATTATTTTTTATTATTCATTCGTTATCTTTATTAACTTTAATTGTGTTATTTTTTAATTACTAATTTTTAATTAGTAATTACTTTTTTAAATTATTTAAAGTTTTATTTGTGTAAATTACTAATTATTAATTATTTTTATTACTTAATAATTATTTTTTAATTATTAATTATTTTAATTTTTATTAAGTATTAATTACCTTAATATTTTTATTAGTTATCAATTATTTTTAATAATTTTAAATGTGTTAGTTATTATTTTTTATTCATAGTATTTTGAATTTCATAAACTATTTAATATGAAATAGTACAAATTGAACTCAAAATTATCAGATAGTCTATTTTGGGGGTAAAATAATAAAATCATTGAATTTCAAATGCTGAATGGTTTATCCAACACAAACAGCCTTATCTATTCAGAACATCTAAAGAATAGAAAACCATCATAGCTCTTTTCAGAATTCAGGCACTTAATACTTTTTTTTAACTTTTCAGATTTATCAAACGCCACTTTACTATAGGTGGAATAGTGGCTACCTTAAATTTTATTATAAACAAGTTTACATATTAATCACCCCCCACCCCCTAGCTTGGGGTTGTTATTCATTCCACCCTCAATTCACACATCATTAGTTTTAGTGATGGAATGTGCCTTCATGACATTTAAATGATTTTAAAAAAGCAAATTTAATATTCTTTGGCTCCTTCTTGCATATTATACTGATAAATAAACTAATTTATATTTTTAAAGTACATTTTTCTTCCATCACATGAAGATAGGAATGAAAAGTTGAAACCAGGTTCCATAAATATTAATGAATTAAATTTTTGTGTATAATGCAGATATGTTACCTTAGCCTCATGTCTAGATCACCTTTCTTTAATCCATTTATACATGCAAAAGTTGCATGTACTATTCAACTATTCATTATCATCATCTTCATCATCATAAGCCTTATTCCAATTATATGGGGTCAATTACATTGATTATGTTTTATCATTTCGTTTTATCGTGTCGAGGCACTGCAAAGGAACATGAGAAAATATATCAAGATCCATGATCATGAGAATTTGACAAAAGTTTTAGTACCAATTGCCAAACTTGATGCATCCTTCCTCTTTCATCTAAGCTTGGGATCAACAGTCACCAACTAATGATTGCACCAAAATCAAGAGAAGTATCCTCTTTATAATAATATATATTTATAATTTGGGATATTTATATCTTGTCAAAATATGTGTTTTAGAAGGGAAATTAATATTTTATTATTATAGGAATTTTCATAAAATATCTATTTCTATCTTTATTTGGTCTTTTTCTATTAACAAACCTCTTACATTTTTGTGGTCAAAGGGGTACAAGTTAAAATGTAAATCTGATACTTAACTGAAAACTAGAGGCGAAGTACAAGTAAATTACTCAAAAATAAAATCAGAGTTTGGGTAAATTATTTCTCAAAAAAAGCATAAATTGCTGAAAGCTACCCTCAACTTTTTGACATTGTTGTATCTACACCCCTCCATTAAATCAATGTTAAAATGTTAACAAAAATTGTTGATGTCACCATCTCAACATTTTTAAATGTCAAGATTGCCCTTGATGAAAACATGAGATTTTATACTCACCAGAATACCTTGAAATTTCGACCAAAAAAAAACCTTGAAAAGAGTCATTGCATCCTACTTGAATAGTGGGTTACAACCCACCCTGACCCACACCCACCTCAGCCTACCCACTTTGAACCATATATCCACCACACTCAATATTTTTCTCGAAACACACAAAAAAAAAATATAGGAGACACAAAAAAATTAATAAAGATTTATAAAATTATACTAACATAAAGGCCAATTTTTCAAAATTAAAAAAACATAAAAAGTGATATTTTCAAAAATATATTTCAACCAAAAAAAATAGAATTGTAGAAAATACATAAAATGATAAAATTTTCAAAAAATAATTATATATCTCAAGTTAAAAAAGAAAAAAAAAGAAAAAAAAAACAAAGAAAATGATAAAATTTTCAAAAATATATATTTTGATAAAAAGGTAGAAAATGTAAGAGATACATAAAAATATATATATATATATATTTATATATATATATATATATATATATATATAATTCAACAAACTATATGGAATTTGCAAAAAAAAAAGACAGATTTTATGAATTTTATGGTCAATGTAATAGGGAATGGCAAATTTAAAAGCCAATTTACCATTTAAGCGGTCAAAGTTGGATATCTTGGTAATTTTGCCCACTTCTGTCAGCATAAGATAAAGGAGGAGGTGTAGATGCAAAAATGTCAGAAAGTTCAGGGGGGAAACAGTGCTACTAGCACAAATCAGGGTATTGAATCGCAACTATAGAAAGTATAGGAGACGTTTCATCAATTTACCCCAAAAAATCAAAACTCACGAATAATTGAATTTGAGTCTTTTGCCAAACACGTGGCCGTTTCTAAGACACTTTACCATGCATAATTCCGATTGCCCACCCAGGAAAACTTATAAGACAAAAACCCGCCAAAAGAATAATATAAAATTACAATTTTACGTACTTTCCACTTCGCGTTCAAGTAGTTCTCTGAGAAAGTCAAACTACAAATTGAACACGCGTTTAGGGGTAAAATGGTATTTGTACTTCCTCCCTTTCGGCCTCGGCCATTCTCTCTACTAATATGTCGCCCGAGCTTTTTGGCTATTCGGAGTTCGGATTTCTCGCCTCGTTAATTTCTTTTCTTCTTTTCTCCATTTCGTGTTCTGTTCAAACTTCCCTTTTTTTTGAATCTTCTTCTTCGCATTCACATTTTTTTCCCGGTGAAGAATCCAAAGTTACGTTTGATTTCCTGACGAAAAGCCACAGAAGCCCATCAAAATCGCCGTTGTCGGTATAGCTTGGTCGGTCTCAGCGATATACAATCATGAATCCGGAATAGTAAGTTCTAGTAATCCTCAATTCTCAAAACTTGTCCAGCATCTACTTTACCTCAGAACTGTTCACGTTTGTTTAAGGTTGGATCCTCTTAATGGGCTTCTGAGGAGCTTTGTTAAATTTTACTAGATCTGTGACGATTTCTTTCTAACCCAGGGTAGACTTATCATTATTATTATTATTATTTTTTTTTTGTTATGATGCTTATAATTTCTTTCTGGTGGTTGGCCAATTTATCATTAATTTTTGTGCTTATTTTCCGTTAAGTGGCGATCTGACGTTAATACCTAGATCCAGGTGTTCAGATCCCGTGTTTGGTTTTGATTGATGGTTTTTGGAGTAGCTAGTGAGGTTAATTTGTCTGAACTGTATATTCATGTGCATGACTTCATTTTGCTTATTCCATGAGATTCCAGATAACTTGTGCTAGTATGTTGTTGTTCTCGTTTTTTATTTGTCTTTTCACCAATAATAATTAGATGAATTGCTTATGGGAACACAATTAGCACACTGTTCATGGGAATTTGGAATTTTGTAACTTGATGGCCTTAAGATTTCTGGTTGCATAAGGTCTAATCACCACATGATTACTATCATCTTGGTTTTTTGCTAATCAGATTAGGTGTTGGGATGGGGAATAGGGTCTAGGACTCTCACAAGCTTCGTGAGAGTTCGATGTTGCTATTCTAGGTTTATAATCCATTTGGTATCCAAACCAAGGTATTTAAGTATAGGATTCTTTGGGTCCAATAGAAGGGCCGATTACTTCTTTCATAATATTTTGAAAAGTTGAAGACGATTTTGTTAAAGGTAAAAATCTTGTTTGGAATCGTGTTACTCTATGCATTCTTTCATATATGGCTTGGTTACGTGTGTATATGTTTATTTCCCTACTTTGGATTGGGAATGCATGTTGCAATAACGTAGATGTGAAGTCAATACTTACCTTGGCTTTATGACCAGATCACCATGCAAAAATTCTAATTTATTTATCCCAACACCTCTCTCACCTTCCTTTTGCACAGACCACTCAACTAGTCTGAAAAGTGCATGTCCCAAAGCAGTAATGCATGGGCATGCCTGCAGTATATTTACATAAGGGCTACTTTTTCAGATTGTGCATATACTTAAGGGTATTGTGAATGAAATCATAATTGAGCTACTCCATAGAAACTAAGTTGCTGCTTTTAAGTTTTGTTCCAGTCTATTTAACAACCTACATTGGCCATACGGTCATACACCTTTAAAGGTTATAAAGAATGACAAGAAATTCCTATGTAATGATCAATACACCCTTGAACTGTCCAAAAGAAAATATAAACTGTATAGAATGGACTTACTTTATTATTACTGTTTTGCAAGTTTATTTTACTAGACAGCACGTGTCTTTGCCTTCTGCAACTAAATTATGACTTATAATGAAGCCTATCTTTTCTGCTGGTCTCTTTTGTAGTGATTACCTATTCAAACTTTTGCTCATCGGAGATTCTGGTGTTGGCAAATCATGTCTCCTTCTGAGATTTGCTGTAAGTTCAAAAAATGCAATCTAGTTTTTTTTTCTTTAATTCAATAGGGTTCTTGTAAAGTATAGAAAATTTGTTCTTTTCCCAATAAGTTGGTCTTCATGAGCCATCCTCTCAAGCAATATCTGTACCCAATCTCCCATATTTCATGTTAGTAAATATCAGCAATGGTGTTCCTAGCAAAAATTTCATGTTTCCAACCAGATACTTCTGAAATTGTCAATCAATGAAATAGTTTTGACTTGGTATTACATTTCATTTTATTTTAAATACATTACTAAATTAATCACAACTGTGCTACAATCGTGTCTATAATATGCACTTGGTTATATAACTACAGGCTTTAGTTGTTATCGTTTTATTTTTATTAAGTGTTGGAAATGACCATACATGTCAATGTTTGATGTAACAATAAACATTTTCATTGTCCAGTGCTACCTACCATAGATATTGCTTTAGTTTTGATGCCTCAAAGTAAAATGCATAAAAAGAAACAAAATATGTACATGGAATCAACTAAGAGGCCCTTCATGTAAATAAGTTTTGGAAAGTTGTTATTTTTATGGTTTTACAAGTAGTTTCTACCTTCTAGATCAAATTCATGATATGTGATTTACTAAAGATCAACTTATGAAAGATTGACCTCCAAGCACAGAGCTTCAAGTGCACAACTCTCAGTAATCTTATTGAGCAAGGACATTTATCCAAAGAATGAGTTAAAAGGACTACTACCACTCCAATCCCCTCCCCTCCAAAACAAATGTCCAGATACCACTAAAACCATTGATTTTTCCTGAAATTCTACAGGTTTCCAGATTACCTGCAATGCCTTTTTTGAGGTCAACCCTGAAAATCTTCAAATCAGTAGTGTTGGTGTTTTTTAAGATAAATAAAAAATGAAATTTATTTAAGAAAGAAGAGGAAGATACAACAAAGGTGACGAGAGATCACCCAGCCCCAAAGAGCAAAATAAAGCCAAACCAGCCCACAAATGATAGAAGAAGCCCCAACCAACAGACACCCATGTCCAGAATTTTAAGAAACGGTTGTATTCCCATTTCCCATGTCCATGTCCAAGTCTGTATCCATATCTGAGCATTATAGGTGTGAGCCAATTCTGTGGTTGGTTTAGGAAGAAAGAAATGCAAAAGTGTTCATTAGAAAGGAGCACTCATTAGAAGTATTTGTTGATCTAGAGGAATGGACAGCTGGTGCCTGGTTGGGGATGTAGAGTTGGTAGACTTCCGAATTCCGACCAAATATTTTGGTATGCGAATGGTTGATAAATGCAAATCTAAAGTCATTTGGGAGCCTATTATTGAAAAAGTTGATAGAAAGTTAGCCTCTTGGAAGACAATACCTCTCAAATGGTAAATTGCAAGACAATTTGCAAATCCAAAGCTAAAGGGGTCTGGGGATGCCCTGTTAGGGAAATAGTTGTGGAGGTTTAAAGAGCAGCCGAAAAGTTTGTAGAGGAGGCTAATTGTTTCCAAGTATGGCTCTAGTAGAAGAGATTGGGAGAGAAGATGTAAGGGCCCATTTGGTTTGTGGGAATAGGGGTGTGGAATCAGAATTGGAATGGCCCATCCCTATTCCAACTGTTTGGTTGGACGGAATGAGGATCCCGTTCCCATTCCTGGTTGAAGGGCATTCCCCCATTTGAGGGAATCGTCATACCTGCCCCCTCCCTTGGGAATGAGATTTCATTCCAGCTGATTCCTATTCCCGTTTGAATTAAACAGGCTATGGGAACAGACCATTCCGGTTCCTATTCTGAAGGATTTCATTGCAATTCCAATTCTGACTACGAACTGAACGGACAAAGGGTCCTTTATGAATGGGTGTAAAATATGATGTTGGTAATGGACAAAGGGTCCTTTTCTGGAAGGCAATTCAGAAAATTCATCCTCAGTTTATGAGATTGCTGTGAACAAGAGTGCAACAATATTTATCAAAAAATAATAATAAACAATAGTGCAACAATGGCTGAATGTATGGAAAGGCAGAATGGGTGTTGTGTTTGGAATCCTCAGTTCCAGAGGAACCTAAATGATTGGGAGGTGAGTTCCTTGATCGGTTTGTTACAGAATTTGTATACCAAGGACAAATGGTGCAAGGGAAGACAAAAGCAAGTGGATCTTAGAGAAATCAGGTGAATTTTTTGTTAATTCATTCTACAACAGTTTGACAAGGGAAGATGCATCTTACTTCCCAAGTGACAGGATTTGGATCAGAAATGTGCCATCTAAATTGGCTTCCTTTGTTTGGTCAGTGCTGCTTGATAAGATTCTGACAAGGGACAACTTAGTCAGAAGAGGTTTAGAGGTGGCGGATGTGGGTTGTATCATGTGCAATAGAAGTGTGGAATCCTCTAAGCATCTTTTGTTGCATTGTGAGTTTTTAAGGAGATTAAGCAAGGCTGCCAGAGTTAGCTTGGAGCATCATCCCTACAGCAGTCTTCTGGGCAGTGTGATGTGAAAGAAATAGCAGAATTATCGTGGGGAGGCAGGGTTCAAAAGAAGAGGTGTTCAAAAAAGTATTTGGCATGGTGTTTTCTTGATTGGCAAATCACTCTATATTCAAAATCTGACACAAATTCTTTTTTTTTATCAGGATTTTCTTTTTTGTCAGGAACCTGTAAGATTTTTTTGTTTGTTATTGGGCTTATTGTAATTGGGTCAGTTTGGTTTTCCCTTGTACAGAATCTCATTGTACAGGGGTTACCCTTGTATCATGTTTTGGCTTATAATGAAATACTTTACCTTGCAGTTTCAAAAATAAAACGAAAAAACAAAAACAAAAACAAAAAGGTATCAATTGATCTTGTTACTAACAGGGTGGCTCATTGGCTGAAGACCACAAAGGAGTTTAGAGATTTCAGTTAGAGAGTGGAGAGGTTCTGTTTCAGCTCTGTTGATTCCTGAAGACACAATCAAGTTCAATTTTGCTGATTGCTCATTGGGGAAACCAAGGCCTTCAGGGATTTGAGGTGTTTCCCAGTCACAAGGGCATTTCCCACTCTTTGAGGGGGGTTTGACTGATGTATGTTCCAAGCTTCATTAGAGTGGAAGCAGTAGGCAGTGTTTTAGAAGGCAGTGAGATGTACTCCATGAGGTGAGGCAAAGCCAAACTGCCTTGCCTCAACCTCGTTGAATACATAGTGAGAGGCTTAGGTCTCAGATTGGATGAGGCGCGTGCCTCATCTATACAACCTTATACTTCAGAAAGAAAATTATTAAAAGCATATTAGTCTATATATTCTCCAAAATTTAAGAAAATTTGGTTGTTTATTTGGCTGGACTAAAAATATCTTGCATATATTCATCCATGACACTTGAAAATGGGACCGATCAATCTACAAACTAAAATTGATAGTTATGGTTTTTTTAAATCAAAAAATAAAAATAAATAAAATAGAAATTATTAATAGAATAAAATCAAACAAAAATTACAAACTCTTTTTTATCCACTGACACTTACAAGCCCTTTAGTTCTGATAAGGAAGTTGAATATGATGAGAAATATTCATTTAAAAAATTACAAATTAGTATACATTAAAAAATAGACTAGATTAAATGCAAATTAAGTAAAAATATTATTTTATTAGACAAAAAGGATATAAATGTAAAAAACAAAATAAAAACAAAACAATATCATGTTAAAAAGAACTTCCATTTAATAAAAAGTAAATATATAAATTGAGTAAAGAAATAAATCACATCCATATGTATGGATAAACTAGGAAGTATGCAAATTAAGTAAACAGGTTATTTGATTTAGATAAAGGGAAGGTTCAGGCACAAAGCAAAATAACAAATAAAATTTCAAAATCATAGGATACATATTAAAACAATGTTTAACAAAGAAAATATATGAATTTGCTATGAAAGAATAAATTGCATTCTTAAATGCAGAAAAAATACAAAAAAAAAGAAAAAAAAGCTTGTGTATGTGTATTTGTGTTGAGTATTCTATTTATATACATAAAATTTTTTTAAAAATTATATACATATGTATATATTCACACATGTATATGTGTGAATGTATAAACAATATAATTTACACTTAGAGGTTTAGTGGGCTGACTCCTAATGTGCTCTTGAGTGTCTTTGGAAGGTTGTGGTTTGTGTTTTTTTCTCTGTTTCTGTGGTGTTTATTGTCTCTTTCTTTTCCTTATTTTGTTATTTTTGATTGGGTGGGGGGGTGGAACAACATCAGTATTATCCTATGGTTGTGGAAAGAGGGTTTGTCAAGATATGTATCTGGAATTTGAAATCTATTTAATGTAAATATATATATATATATTAATTGTTCATGCCAGACATGTTAATTTGAGTAAAACTAAAATTGATGGTTTTAATACAATTTAGGCATGGGTGTTGCTTGTCTTTATTTATTTTTAATTGATGCTAACTCTGTCTGTAGTGGCATCTTTGCCTCATTGGTTGAAGATTTCTTTTTATGTTGTCTATGCATTTTTAAATATGAGCTACTGTGACTATTCCTATGGAATTAAATTTCATTGCTCTTCAATCATCTTTTTCCTCTTTGATCATTCAAACAGGATGATTCATATCTTGAGAGTTACATCAGCACCATTGGAGTTGACTTTGTAAGTGATTATTACTAGTACTAAATCTTCCTTGTTACATAGGTGCGTGGTGCTAAATTGTACTCCCATCTTTTATTTATAGAAAATACGTACTGTGGAGCAGGACGGGAAGACAATTAAGCTTCAAATTGTGAGTATAGTTAAAATTTTAGATGCATTATCTATTCTTGGTTGCTTATATGACAATGGCTGTAAGCAGTGTAGCACATACCAAATAGTTGTGTTCCTTATGGCCTAGAAGACTTATATGATATTGTTTGTTTTTAATTAATGGTTCTGAACTTTATTTGAGAAATGTTCATCAATCCTGGTTCTGCCCTTGCTGTGGGATAAGAGAAATATTGAAAGTGTGGAACTAAATTTCAATAGATTACCTTGAAAGATCCAACTGCTCAAGATTGAGGAGAATTTCTGGTCCTGGGTCTAATGATCAGCCAACCTTGTTTTGTTTTTGCCCCAGATAATTTTATTGCACAGCCCTCCCCATGAAATATTGTTGAGCCAGTGTTTTTTATTAGGGTTATCCTAGCTAGAGCCTTTTATTTTAATTCACATTTGTGGTGTGTTTTCCATTGAAAGGGTGGATAGCTTCTGCTTGTCCCTCTGGAATTCATGGCATGATCATGTAATGAACCTTATTTCTAATATTGACTGATTGTTGACCACATATTGGAGTCAATTTGGTTTTTTGGGCACTC